GTCTGTCTTCCTAGATATTTTATTCTTTTGGTGGATATTGTGAATGGAATTGCATTCTTGATTTGGCTTTCAGCTTGTATGTTATCTAGTGTATATAAATGTCACAAATTTTTGTACATTGATTTTGTATCCTGAAACTTTGCTGAAGCTGCTTATCAGTTCTAGGAGACTTTGAGCAGAGACGATGGAGTTTTTCAGGTATGGAATCATATCATTTGCAAAGAGGGCTAGTTTGACATCTTCTCTTCCTATTTGGATGCCTTTCATTTCTTTTTCTTGCCTGATTCCTCTGGCTAAGACTTCTAGGACTATGTTGAATCGGAGTGGTGAAGGAGGGCATCCTTGTCTTGTTCTGGTCCTAAGAGGGAGGCTTCCAGCTTTTGCTCATTCAGTATGATGTTGGCTGTGGGTTTGTCATAGACGGCTCTTATTATTTTGAGGTATGTGTAACCCAGGATTTTCTGATGCCAAAGCCCATGCCCTCTCTACCTTTGTTATATTACTCTCTCACCAAAGGAGCTGAGCAACTACAACCTTGCAAGCAGACTTCAATGAGAGATGATGTCCCATTCCATGATCCTTGAGAGGTGACTAGAATAAGTACAGTATTATAACAAATTCTAATCAGGGAGGACAATTAGTGTTTTCTGGTCATGCTGTGTGTAATGCATTCTTGCATTGCTATAAAGAAATACCCGAGGATCTCCAGTCAGACCATCTTCTCCTCACCTTTCAGAGCCTTTTTGTTTCTATTTTACAAGATACTATCCCGTGCTTTTAGTTGTATTTAGTGGGAGGGGCTGGGAGAATTGTGTTTACTCCGTCTTGTCTGGAACCAGAAGTCTCAATTCTGTGTGCATTGTTGTTTGTTTTTTGGCAATATTTTAAATTGCCCAGAAAGTGAAGAAAATACAAGGTTCATGTGTCACTCTTTTTGGTCCCCACAGTTTTCACCACATGGGGGGCCCCTAAACCTAGTGCTATGCTGCCAGGGTCTACTTCTTACTTCAGAATGCCTTCTCCTTTCTCTTTTCCCTTTCTGCCTCTAACCCCTGTTCCAGTACCCACCTCTCAAGGCTCTCATAGCCTATCAGGAAAAACTACCAATTTTCTCACATTAAACCATAACAGATTATTCTAGATAAATATATTTCTTTTCCATGGGGCAGCCTCTCCATCACTGTTCAGAACATTTATCATCTGCATTTGTGGTTTTATACCAATGACCAGGTCCACTGCCTGGCCAATGAGCAGGTCTCTAGTCTTCAGCTGGGACTAAGCAGGTTCATCAGGGTGGCCACTTTTAAGATGAAGAGAGCACCTTTGAGCACGAAAGACAAATTTCCTCATTCATCCTTAGAGCCAGAGGAAGCTAATTTATGGGTGTTTTTTTTTTCTATTTTTCTGGCTATCAATAATTTTTAAAGAAGAACTTGTGTTCATTTTATTAAAGAGAGGCAAAGAGACCAGTTTTGGTTCAATGAAACCCACATGCAACACCCAATATATTATCATCGTTTGTTTATCCACTGCCTGTCCAGGAAACCGTAGGGTCCCTTAGGTGAGGAACCATATCTCATTTACGGGTCTCCAGGGCCTTGTATGCTCAACAAAGGTTTCCAAATTAATGAATTAAAATGACTTCTTATATAGATACCAAGTCCTCCTTGGATTTTTTTTTTTTTTTTTAAAGAATTCCCAGAAATGAGAAAAGCCTTGGCACCCTGTTTCCCTAGTGTACCTGATGAAGATCAGAAATAGTTAAGCAGGGTTGCAGCATATTGACTCCCAGGTGTGCTCACTCATAGCTCCAGAGGTTCTGCAATCCACATCCTCATTCCCATGGCTGAAGGCCCTAATTCCCATACACTTTCCAGACTCAAAATTGTCTATTCGCAGCAGAGAGAGAATATCCTTGCACTGGCAGTTCCGAGAGGGTGAGGACCTATTACGTGAGGGAGGGTACCCCCTAGTTACCTGGCAGGCGTCATAGCTCTCATTATTGTATCCGGCACACAGCATATTTTTGGTGAGTTTTGGAAACGCCTTTGAACACTCCTCCCAGTCCATGATGACCATCGGCGCTTTCATCAGATCCGTTTTCACAGAGTTTTTGTCAGCTGGCCCGGAGAGAAAGCACATTAGAGAAACCACCAGGCCTCATGTCCCCACGCTCATGATGCAGCTGACCGTGCCCTCGGCCCTGTGTCCACCAGCCCCCACCCCCTGCCTTCACAGGCTCTGTAGCCCCTCACTTCCTTCAGGTTACCCCATGCCTGCAACTTACCCACTCGCCCCAAAACTCCCGCAACTACTAGAATTCTTCTTCTCATTCAACACCAAATTTCTACTCCCAAGAAGACTTCCAACTTGACTCCAGTCATCCCCACAGACTCAGCTTCTTGGAACCGGCTACTGACTGTTTCTCAGCATAATCCTGCCTCATCAATACATTTGCCTATTGTGACATGTTATTACGTGAGGATGGCATTTCCTTCACACAGGGCCTTGGGAGGTGGGTTTGCACTCCCAGTGAAACAACTTTAGTTCCTCAGCAAGGGCAGGTTGGCAGAGTGTCTTGAGATGGGATTAGAGGGGATTTGCAGAGGCTCTTTCTGGGCCACCAGATGCTGGAAATTCAGCCAGATTCCTCTCCATCTCATTAACTCTGACCACAAAGAGATTTCACATTTCTTCCCCTGATTGAAGACTTTTAAACTTGTACGTGCCCACGTGCCTCCTCTCCCTCTTCTACCTTTCCAGGAGTGCCTGGAGCCCAGAACTAAGGTCCCACCACTTTCCCTCTGGTTGCTCAACTCCTGAAACACCCACGGCCGTCCAGGCCCAGGCTCGCTGCGAATCATCCCTGTGGATCCAGAGCCTCGTTCAGGCTGACGCAATGCTTTGCTGTTCTCATCCCCTCCCCTCCCCTATCTATTTGCTTTTGGTTTTGTTGGGTTTTCTTTGGGGACAGTCCAGCAGGTCCTTCATCATATCTTTCTGTCCCAGTAGACTTTCTTCTGTTTTGGCCAAGTAACAGCATAACAACAAGTAACAACAGATTCATTTCTAAGAAGAGCCAGGCAATGCTCCAGGACTATCAAAGCCTAGCCCAGGGTGGGCATCTCCAATGCTTGGAGGAGCCAGGTAGGAAACACACCCGTGGGAATCAGGGAAGATGTTTATGAATACAGAGTAGAGGGGCCTCTGGCTAACTGCAGAGTTTAAATTCGATTAAACACACAAACCACACTGCTCTGTGCTGGCTGGATCAGACTGGCTCAGACCTGGTGTCTCAGTTTGGGGTTTCAGCACTCAAAAGGAGCTAAGGCTTGGGCTCTGTGAGCCTCCACTACGCAGGAATCTGCTCCAAAGCAAGTCTTGTCCTCACTCCTTCCTCAGCTCTTCCCCTTCCCGCTTCCTCCCCTCTCCTTCAGATTGCAGTGGCTCTTTCCCCAGGGGAAGCTGAGCAGTCACATACCAGCATTGGTCTGGCCCCAACCTGCCACCCAGCATTCGCGCCATGTGGCGGGGCCGTGCTGCGTAGGGAGGCAGATGGGCACCTTCAGGTCATCGAGTGTGATGGGCGAGGCCAGCAGCAGCAAGGCAATGTCATTGTCCATGTTGGCTCTCTTAAAGTCCTTGTGAAGAATGATGCTGGCGACCTCCTTTATTTCCATGGATGAGCTAGTTAAGTCGTTGGTCCCCAGCACGACATTCAGTTCTTCTGGACTGGTGGCAGAGAACCAGAGAGGGGCGAGTGAAAGGGGAAGGGAAGCCTCAAAAGTGGGAGAATTGGCTGTGCTCAGAAACCTAAATCTCATATAGCTCTAGGACATTTAGACCCTACTGGGGCTGTAGCTCAGAAGGTGTGAGGATTGGAAAAAGGCAGGAAAAACAAAAACAAAAAACAGAAGAGCCGGTGAGCAGACCACAGCCACACCATGGCACCATCGGGGGCCCCAGAGATGTGAATGACGTGCTTCTGTCTAACACAGCAAAGGCAGAGCTGGGTTTAGGGCACTCTACAGAGCCCACAAAAAGCCACTTGGCACGGATCAAACTGGTTTTCAGATAGGTAAGGCATTCATTATTATATCTCTTTTATCTCAACCGGTCTACCAACACTTTAGAAACTCAGGACCAGAAGTTAGTCTAGACCACCACTGACCAAGCAGACAGGAGCTTCAGTAATAAGTCCACATTCAGAACCCCACAGGATATTTGTTATCCCATGACAGCAGGTGCCACAAGGGTCTTTGGTTATGACATGATGAAACTGTCCCTGGGTTTTTGATTAACCTTCTAAAATCAGCCCTTCTGTAGGTCTTCAAACTTCCTTGAGCTGGTGTAGCAGAAAGCACAAGTGCTAGAGCCAGAGTTTGAATTCTGTCTCTATATACTAGGTGGGTACCGTGGGTGAGCGGCCTCAATTTATTGGACCTCAGTTTCCTTATCTATAAATGAGGGCTATTCATTCTACCTGCTCCAGGGGTCACTGTGTGATTAAATGAGTTAACAGAGGAATCCTTCCTTCCTTCCTCCCTTCCTTCCTTCTTTTTTTTTTTTAGATGGAGTCTTGCTCTGTCGCCCAGGCTGGAGTGCCAGTGGCATGATCTTGGCTCACTGCAACCTCCGCCTCCTGGGTTCAAGCAATTCTCCTGTCTCAGCCTCCTGAACAGCTGGAACTACAGGTGCACGCCACCATGCCCAGCTAATTTAGTAGAGATGGGGTTTCACCATATTGTCCAGGCTGGTCTCAAACTCCTGACCACTGAACTCCTGACCACGGAAGTCCTGATCCACCCACCTCGGCCTCCCAAGTGCTGGGATTATAGGCGTGAGCCACCGCGCCTGGCCAATAGAGGAAAGTTTCTTAGCAGGGTCTCCAGCACATAGTTAGTCATCAGTAATACCAGGCATTCATCCACATGCTGTCACAAGGAGCAGGAGAGTTGGGGGTCAGGTGGCCCAGGAAGTCAGGCTTCCAGAATTAGAAGGATTTCCCCCTAGATGGACTTGAATGCCCCAGAAGAGGCATTTGGACCAAGCCGCTTGGCTCCATCAAGCCACAGGTGTTCCTGAAGACGGCAGATGTGACCTCAGGGAGGTCGTAGTCATTGGCCCTGGGTGATGTGAGGAGGACGCAGCCTCAGGCTGGCTACCTCCATGTCCCCAGGGCTAGGGGATGGGTGGGTGGGTGGGAGCCGTTCATGCTGACTGGACACCGAACAGCCGCAGGTTCCTCTCAGCCTCCAGGTGTGGGTGAGGGGGAGGGTGCCCTGGGGGTGGGAGCCCTGAGAGGCAGCAGCGGGAGGCTCGTAGTACTTACAACAGCTCTTCGGAATATAAGCAGTGAGCCGCAGTGAGAATCCACCACTTGTTGAGGATGGAGCCGCCACAGAAAGGTTCACCTCTGGCCTGAATACTCACCTGCCACGGAAACTCACCCACCTCCGCCTCCATCCCCCCTGTGATTCTGGAATACCGAGTTCTTCCCTCGAAAATGGATCTGTCGCCACATTCTGGTGGAATGAAAGAGAGTGGAAAGCAAAAAGGGAAACATTTAGTCAGCGTCCAGTGTGAGCCGGGGACCGGGCTGGGAGGAGGAGGCTTCCAAGTGGATATCCTCGCCCCCATTCTAGAGAGGAGCTCACTGAGGCTGGCGAGCTCTTTATTTTTTCTACACAGAGCTCAGCAGGCGAGTCAGAAGCATTGGCTCTGACTCTATCCAGCATTTGTGACCTCAGGAGAGTCACTTCACTGAGCTTTCTGCTCTCATCCAGGAGAAATTGGAAGAAAAATAGCGTCCAAAGCCAACGTCCTGTGGTGGGCAGGACAGTAGCCCCCCAAAGAGGTCCAAGTTCTAATAGGCCATCTCCCCAGAACCTGCGAATATTTTAGCTTGCAAGGAAAGAGGGGCTTTGGAGATGAAATTTGGGTTGCTAACCACTGCTCTCAGAGTGGGGACACAATGCTGGATTTTCCGAGGGGCCAGTGGAATCACTGAGGCCCTTGAGAGGGGTGGAGGGAAGCAGAAGGTCAGGCCGAGGGAGAAGTGACTGCAGAGGAAAGGCAGAGAGATGCAATATAGCTGGCTTTGAAGATGAAGGCAGGGGCCCAGAGAAGCTTCTAGAAGCTGGAAGTGGAAAGGCGAAGAATTCTCCCTTAGAGCGTCCGGTAGGAATGCAGACCTGCCACACCTTGAATTCAGCCCCGGAAGGCCTGTGCTGGAGCTCTGTCCCACAGTACTGCAGGATAAGATATTCGTGTTGTTTAAGCCGCCAAGTGTGTAGTCATTCATTTCAGCAGCCCTAAGAAACCACAAGGGGCGGGGCACAGAAAGTGCCAGAACCTACCGGAAAGCCCTGGCTGAAAGCCCTGGCTGTTCTAGGCTAGTCCAGGCTGAGCAGCTCCTTTACTTGGGGGACTGAGAGCAAAGCTGTAACTGCCTGTGCTGAGGCAGGAAATTCCCCTTCCGGACAGAGGCCGGGTCCAGCTCCTCGCCCCCAGGAAGAGGAGATGCTCCATTAATATTTGCTGACTTGAATGTCTGCCTTGTGTTCTGGGACAAGGCATGAGTTTGACTCTAAAAAGCCCAAGACCCTATTCTTGTCTCTTTCTTGCTGCTCATTTTCCAACCATCAGCTCAATAGAAGCTGTGAGGGTTTTGTCGTTTGGGTGACCCCGTGGTGATCATTTTTGGTTTAAAAAAAATACATGAGTGAGAACTTAGCAATGTGCATCCAGAGCCTTCTGCTGTCAGTAATGCATAAAGGCTCTCTTCGGGACTTTTGTTTGTTTTGTTTTTGAGAGATGAAGTCTTGCTCTACCGCCCAGACTGGAGTGCAGTAGCATGATCTTGGCTCACTGCAACCTCTGCCTCCCAGGTTCCAGCGATCCTCCTGCCTCAGCATCCCAAGTAGCTGGGACTACAGTTTTTGTATTTTTTAGTAGAGACAGGGTTTCACTAAACCTGTATGTTGGTCAGACTGGTCTTGAGCTCCTGACCTCTGGTGATCCGCCTGCCTCTGCCTCCCAAAGTGCTGGGATTACAGGGATAAGCCACCATGCCCAGCCTATTCGTGACTTTTGGATCCACATTTCTTCTCTGATTTTATTTACATATGATGCTTACTGTGTGTCAGGCACTGTCGCAAGCACTTTACAAGCACCGATTCACTTGGTTGTCATAACTGCCCTACTGAGGTAGGCTCTCTTGTTTTCATCCTCACTTTGTAGTTGAGACAAACAAGGCACAGAGAGGTTAAGTAGTTTGCCCAAGGTCACACAGCTAGTCAGTGACGGAACCATGATATGAGCCCCAGGCAGGCTGGCAGCAGAGCTGGTGTTCTCATCACTGCCCCATGTGGCTCTCTGCCTGAAATATTCTTCCCCAGGCAGCTACTTGGCTCACCTCCTCACTACGCCCAAGAATCCCTTCTTCAGAGTGTCCTTCCCTGACCTGTGTCTGAAACAGCCCCTCCCATCCTGGTGACTCCTTATTTCCTACCCAGTGTTACATTTCTTCATTGCATCCTTGTTACATTAACTCCTACATTATAAGTCCCTTTTGCCTGACTCTGGTACCAGAATGTAAGCTCCAGACGGAGAAGGCAACATGCTTGTCTGGTTGATAGCGGGTCCCAGGGTCCGAAAACCACACGTGGCATGGAAGAGGCACTCAACAACCATAAGTCATCCTCTGACTCAATGACTCTGGGAGTCTGGAAGGCAGCACATATGTGCATCTGATGATGTTCACTGCAGCGATCTCTATCATCGTGACAAATTGAAAACCAGCTAAATGCTAGGGTTGAATAAAGTAAGGCACATCCATATCATCAACTGCTTCTCAGCCACAAAATTAGGCTCATGGGGGATTTTTAACAACACAGGGAAATGTCTGTGATATAAAATTGAGTGAAAAAGTCAGGATGAAAATCATATTTAAAACTTGTGATTTTATTATGTTAAGAATGTGGGCTTATGAGTATGGAAGGAAGTACATCAAAATGCCGAGTGTCTATGAGGTGGATTGGATGGTGGGCAGCTATGATGGGTGCCCTCTGTCTCTCCGTCTGAGATGCAGAACGTGGCACGTGCCAGACAGCCCAAGCTTGAATCCAGGCTCTGTTGCTTACTCACTAAATGATTTAGGGGAAGCTACTTATCTTTGAGTACCCCTCCCCCACTTTCTTCATTCCTAAAATAAGCATAAGATAATGCCAACTTTATAAGACTGACGTGTGGATGAAATAAGAGGATGGATGTTGAAATGGCCGACAAAGTGCTTGGACCAAAGTCAACTCTCCAGAATGAACTGGCAGAATTTCTCATATCCATTTTGCATCAAAGTCCCCATGGGACTCATCCCCCACATTCTTGGTCCTGAGATCAACCCACAACATCCATATGGAATCATGTGGAGTTTTAGGTTCATGCAAGAGCTCAGAGCCTGGAAGCAGTGATGGAAGCAGAAACGGCTGCTTCTGAGTGATCTGAGCAATCATGCATTTTGGGCCCCCTTGCAATGGGACACCAGAGGAGCATGTTCTGCTGATGCTCTCCCCTCACTCCCCCCACCCCCTGTTCACACAGAGTGCAGTGGACCCCAGGCTGGACTGAAGGAGGCCAGGTGAACCTGCTGTGTTCTGGGCAAGAGGCAGTGTGCACAGGGCAGGCAACCTGGCGCTGCGGTCACCCAGTGCAGGCCAAGCAGACAGCTCTGTCATTTCCCCATGGGTCAACTTTGGGCAAATCCTCATCTTCAGTGAGGCTGAGTTCCTTGTCCACACGTGGTCTGAGAGCAGATGCCCCACCGTGGTGATGTGTGCGTTAAACACGGGGAAGTGCTCGACCCCTAACAGTTGCTAGGTATCCCAGTGTCCCTGAAGTCTCACTCGTCCCCTTGGAGAAAGAAATGAGCCATCAGGGAGCTGCAGGGGGCCAGGCACAAGGACACAAGCATCCTTGAACTTGGTCTGACTGATCTAGGCTTCCCTGGGCATCTATGGCTCCTGGAAGCCTGGTGCTGTTGGGAGCCACAGAGGCCCAGGGTAATGGTCCCCCTCCAAGTGGCAGAACTCAGTCTCAGCTAGTTCTAGGCACAAGCTTGAGGGCAGCCTACTATTCCTTTGAGGATGAAGTGTCAGGTTTCAAAACCAAAACTCAAGGTCAGACAGGTCAAACACTGGGCCAGGGAAGAGAGGAGAAAAGGGAGAAGTGATTTGGAGGAAGGGTATGTGGGGACCCCTGGAGCTCTGGCCTTGTGCTCTGCGATCCACCCTCCTGGCAGCCAGTCAGCTGGACCATGAGCCCCCATCCATGCCCCCTCTGCTCCTGGACTCACCACTGACTGGGCGGGGGCGATGAGGGCGCTGAGGGTGGTGGGCGCCCCTAGCCCCACCTAGGAGAGCCACTCCAGCCTCTGGGAGAGGAGTCCGCGGACGGAGTTGAGCTTCTGTGACCAGGGACAGGAGCAGCAACACTGAGAACAGGAGCATGGCCCTAGGCTGTGCTGTGGGCCCGGGGGTGACAGAGGCCAGGGCTCAGGGAGTGAGGCTGACAGCCTCTGGCTCAGATCCAGGGCCCCCAGGTGATGTCACAATGGGCTGTGGAGCCGAGAACTCAGACTGCAGTGATGAAGACTTCTTTTCTGACTGTTTTGTTTCTAGGATGGCTGCACAGAGGCACCTCATCTCAGAGCCTTTCTTATCCCAGGTTTCCTTCTCCCTGACCTGGGCACCACCCAACTTCCCGAGTGTATTAGTCCATTTTCATGTTGCTGATAAAGACATACCCGAGCGTGGATAATTTATAAAGAAAAAGAGGTTTAATAGACTCACAGTTCCAGGTGGCTGGGGAGGCCTCACAATCATGGCGGAAGGCGAAAGGCGTGTCTTACATGTCGGCAGACAAGAGAGAATGAGACCACGTGAAGTGGGAAACCGCTTATAAAACCATCAGACCTTGTAAGACTTATTCACTACCAAGAGAGCAGTATGGGGGAAACTGCCCCCGTAATTCAGGCATCTCCTCCCGGGTCCTTCCCACAACACGTGGGAATTATGGGAGCTACAATCAAGATGAGATTAGGGTGGGGACACGGTCAAGCCATATCATTGAGCCTCCAGTGGGCACAATGATGCTTTCAGCCATTGTCACCCCCAAACATTTTTTGAGGCTCAGTTCAGGCCACGGCTTCTCTGTGAACATGGGGGTAATGTCTGGGGGAAGGGCTTCCAGCCTGGGCCCTCAGTCTGGGGAGGCCTGGAGGCCTCTGCCAGCACCCGCACCCTGTGGGGTACAGCTGCCCGCTTAGTTCTCTGCCCAGGATTCTGACCCGGGGCCTCAGGTGTGGCTGCCCAGGCCAGGTTGAGAGGTTCTGGCCTCCCCTCATGCCCAGTGTGGCGGGTCCCAATCCCCTTTCCACCACCTTCTAGATGGATCCCACATGGCCCCCAAGTGTCCTGATGGGCCCCTGTGTGTTCCAGATGAAACAACCAGCCTCAGATGGAGGTTCCTGGTGTGTGGCCTCACTGGATGTCAGTGACTCAGTCATGCTTTAGACCTTGTGTGTTTTTAAAACTTCCACACCCCTCAGTGCACTGACCCAAGTGGACTTACCCAAGCAGCCTGGGCACTGCCTTCCTGGCCACAGGCTGAGCCTAGTGGTTGGAAGTGACTTATGGACTCAATCGCCAAAGTGCCCACGTGTCTACCTGCCCAGTCTTACCTCCTCGGTTTTCTCATCTGCAGCAGAGAAACACAACGCTCACTGGCATGCAGGTTACTGTGAGGCTTAAAGTGAGATCACATGACCGGCAAGGTGGCCTCTCACGGGTGTGGCTCGAGCTACTTCCTGGGGAGGAGATTCCAGAACTTCTCTGCTCTTTCTCACAAGGTAGCTCCTTGGTGAAGGTTGCTCCTCACTGCTCAGGCATCCCCTCTGAGGCTGAGCCACAGCCTGTTGAGTGGCCCTAGGTGGTGCCCTTCCCACCTGCTCTGAACCATGCTTCACCCACCTGTTCAACAGGGGATGCCTGGTCCTGATGGAGGCCACGACTTTTCTGACTGGCATGTGGAACAGGAACCCACAGCACACCCAGGCACCTGGCCCTGATCTCACCACTTAGTCTCATTCTTTGGCCCTCAGGGTGGCCTCATAGGGAGCCCCCTGGCTTTCGTCTTCCCCTCCTTCGGGCTCAGGTCCCCACTGGACCTACTACTCACGCATCTACTATATGCCAATGCTTTCTCCTTTGCTCCATTTCTATTGGCTCTGGGGGTAGGGTGTGGAGGGGAGGAGGAGCCTGGGCTCCAGGTCTGATGAGGGAATGGAAGATGACAGCTAATCTCATGGATGGGGAGACAAGGGGTACAGGCATATCCACTGCAAACTGCTGCTCATTTTCAACAGAAGTGACTGAACAAAATCGTCAGTCACTTCTGGAAAGACTGATTTCCTGCTGAAGACCGCCTCGTAGAGTCTACGTCCCTCCTAAGAACGTGACTTAGATCTATTCTTGTTAAATACTTGTTCACTGTCCAGCATTGCTTTGCAAATCTTCACAGTGATGTTGGGTTGCACCATGTCCCATCTTCTGGATGGAGACAGCCCAGCCTCACATACTGAGCTCTGCACAACTCCAGAGGGCGCCATCCCCCATAGGCTACAATGGGAAAGTCTCTCCCTCGGACTGTGCTAACGAGGGGGTCCAGGGTGACAAGAGCAATGCTAGTGCTCTAGAAGGAATCTGATGAAATTCAAAGAGGAAAGGAGGCACATGATGATATAGGTTGGATATGGGTTGTGTGGGGACTGTTGTCTGGCTGACGCCCCAGAGGCCCCAGGGTGGCATTGACTTGGGGACTTTACCGAAGTCTGGGCCAGTGATTCTCTGACTGTCTTAGCCTATTTGTGCTGCTATGACGGAATACCACAGATTGGGTAAATTTTTTTCTTTCAGATGGCGTCCTACACTGCCACCCAGGCTGGAGTGTGATGGTGCAATCCTGGCTTACTGCAACCTCTGCTTCCCAGGTTCAAGCGATTCTCGTGCCTCAGCCTCCCCAGTAGTTGGGATTACAAGTGTGCACCACTATGCCTGGCCAATGTTTGTATTTTTAGTAGAGAAGGGGTTTCACCATGTTGGCCAGGCTGGTCTCCAACTCCTGACCTCAGGTGATCTGCCTGCCTCGGCCTGCCTGCCACCTCCCAAAGTGCTAGGATTATAGGCATGAGCCACTGCACCTGGCCAGATTGGGTAATTTATAAAGAACAGAAATGTATTCTTTCACAGTTCTGGAGGCTGGGAAGTCCAAGATCAAGGTGCTGGCAGGTTTGGTCTCTGGTTCCAAAATGGTGCCACATTTCTACGTCCTGTGGGGAAGAGGAATGTTGTGTCTTCAAGTTCTTCAGAGGAACAGAAGAGAGTGAACCCACTCCTGCAAGCCCTTTGTAAAGTGGTGTTAATCTGTACATGAGGACAGAGCTTTTACTACCCAGACGCTTCCCAAAGGTCTCACCCCTCAACGCTGTTGCATTGGAGATTAAGTTTCCAACGCGTAACTTTTGGAGGAGACACATTGGAACTGTGGTGCTGCCTTGGATGTGCAGCCCAGGGAGCTTGTTCAGTGCAGATGAGGGTTGCCAGATTTAGCAAACAAAAATCCAGGATGCCTTGTCAAATTTGAATTTTAGATAAACAAATATTTTTAGTATAAATATACTCCATACCGTGTTTAGGACATTTTCATCCTAAAATAATTTGCTGTTTGTTTGAAATTCAAACATAGCTCATGTCCTATATTTTATCTGTCAACTCTAGTACCTGTTTACAGGCTGAGTCCTTCAGCTCCTGATCCAGTGGGATGGGGCGGGCCGGGGGTAGAGAAGAGGTCTGAGCACTTGTAACAGCACAGCTTCTTCCAGATGAATCCAATGCAGGTCATCTCTGGACATCTTTGAGAAGCATCAGTTAGGCCCCCTGGAGAGAGCTTTGCTGGGATCGCTGGGGTCTGACTCACACCTGGGAAATCTGGAGGTGAGAGAATGGTTCTGGGAGGGATGCTGCTGGGTAGGGACTGTCCTGAACCCACAGTTTTTCCTTGGAACCAGTGTGGGCTGCACAAAGAGAGATACGCCCAGGGGTGGTCTTAGGATTCATCCCATGAGGCTCCCTGGAGGCGGCAAAGAAATCTGTAAGAAAGAGTCTGGGGTGTATCACCAGGTGCTCAGGGGATGACAAAGAGCAGAAAGCAACACGGCATAGAGAGAGCCCCACCCTGGCCTGGGGACTTCAGGAGAAAGCCACCCAGCAGGGAACCATGGAAGAGCCCATGAAGACACCACATAAGAGCCAGCCTTCAGTATCTGCCAGGCCCAAGGAACAGTGAGCTGGTATGTGGGCTCACCTGGACCTGTGCCTTCCCCTAAACTTTCACCTGTAGGGGGCAGGTGAGCAGAGCGGGAGGTGAGAAAGGAACCATGTTCCTAACTGGACCCAGGTAGGGAGGAGGCTGAGCACTGAGTCAGATTCTGTGTCGAGAATGTGACAAGGGCTTGGATATTCTAATGCATAAATCGCCCTGAATTCGGACCCAAGTGACCGTAGGACTATTACCTGAGAATAATCAGAAAAGCTCCGAGTCCAAGTTTTATCTGGACAGAATACATCATGCCCTCTGAATGGCTTATTTATTTATTTATTTTTTTGAGACAGAGTCTTGCTTTGTCCCCCAGGCTGGTGTACAGTGGCATGATCTCAGCTCACTGCAACCTTCGTCTCCCGGGTTTAAGCGATTCTCCTTCCTCAGCCTCCAAAGTTGCTGGCACTACAGGTGCCCACCACCACGTCTGGCTAATTTTTGTATTTTTAGTTCAGATGGGGTTTTACCATGTTGGCCAGGCTGGTCTCGAACTCTTGACCTCAGGTGATCCACCCGGCTTATCCTCCCAAAGTGCTGGGATTACAGGCGTGGGCTACCGCGCCCGGCCTCTGAATGGCTTTTAACAGGAGACAACCAGCTGTGTTTTGATCACAAGCCATGTCGCGGTGCCCATTCCGCTCCTCAGTGCCTTTGCTGCAGGGTTTTCTGTTCAGGCTGGTGGGAAAGGTCTGGCTGAAGCCTCACGATTCCTCCATGTATAGCAGTTTGCTGAACAGCATGTGTGGAAACCTACAAAATCACACAAGCACAGGCAAGTCCCCTGGCACAGGCAGGCAGAGGTCTGGAACAACGGCCACACTCTACCTCCTCCCCCTCCCCAGCTCTCATGTTGGTCTTGGCCGGTGGATCACAACTGAGCCAAAAGTTGGCCTTGGAATCTCTTCCAGTGTAGCAGTTTGGACATCTGTCACCCAGTGAGCAGATGAAACCCACTGTCATTGTTAGACTGGGACCTGACAGACATAAGGACCTCACAGGGATGAGGGATCTCCAGCAGAGACGAAGGTCAGAGGCTTTGGGAGGATGCTTCTTGTGTCCTCTCTGATGATCACGCAGGCACTCGCTGCTCTGAGAAGCTGTTCTAT